ACTTTAAAAATATGCATGGTCTTTTCTAACAAAGGATTGATCTGAAGTAAAACAGATACCAGGTTGATCTAATCAAACTAAGAATAACTAAACACAATGAATGAATACCATGTCAGGCAATTAGGGGACCTCTGGACTTGATAAAGCGCTTCATAAGTACAGGCCATTTGAGATAGTAACTCTAAACTAAACTNCNAAGTAAATGTAGAAGTAATAATGAAAACTAATGAACTACTAATCAATCAATCAATCAAATCATCTTTATTTAGACACAATTATGGTCCATAAACAGATAGAACAAGAACAATAAAAAGAAAAAAAAGAAAAAGAAAAAATATAATAAAATAATCAATCACTGACATAAAGCACCAGTGATTCCACAAACTGGAGAAGAACCTCATTGAGCTTTGAACAGGATTGGTCAAAGTCTGAATGATGCTATTTGCAGAGTCTGTTAATCGGCACATGTATCTGTGCATAATGTTTCGAAGCACAGCAGCACAGGTTGGTACATTGGCATTCACCATCTGACTGGCACTACACCATCACGGCACTCTAAGCAGTATCCTCATGCCATCATTATAAGCGACCTGAAATTTATTCAAACTGCTTTTCCTGTAACGCCGCCACAAGTGGACTGTATACATTGGAGTACAGTATGCTTTAAAAAGTGCAATTTTGACAGAGACTGAGCACATGGAGAACTTCCGAAGGAAGTAAAACAGTAAAAATATCAAACTAAGAATGCCACCAGGAAAATGATGTAATTATTGATTGATAATTTTACAGGACCTTTTAGAACACTCAGAGCTACACCAAATACCCGTAGGTTACCTGAAATTGTCCTAATTTACAAAGAGTATTATCCTATTAACTAGATCTTATAAAAGTGCAGCCAGTACTTGCAATGATTAGGTTTTTGTCAAAAGCCAATCAAAACAAGCAACAACTCTCTGATGAATATGGAGGGAAAAGTGAAAGAATAAAGTGAGAGATCTGATGAACCAATAAGAACTGCTGTCCTGATCTGATCTGCATTCTCAATTTTGTTCTTCAACTGATTGGATTTCATGATGATTCTGTTTGATCTATTTGGTCTTTGAGACTTTATTTTATGACTCTTCACTGTACAGTCAAAGTTATCTTGTGTTTTTCAGTTTCATCCTCCTCTACATCTGCGAATGTAAATGAGTTATCAACTTTACAGCTGGTAACCCTGACAGACAACTCTGCATTGGTGTTTCCATGGTACTGATAGGTTTGGAAAGGTGTTGAAAATACATAGAAATCCTTTAAAGGGACGCAAATTTTCATCCACACCTCAGAGCAATGTCAGTGCTCTCAGCAGAGAGGAGGCTGACTCTCTCCAACACACAGAGTAGTAATTTCTTTGTGTTATACAATCTCAGCTGCTGATGCTTTTGATCACACATTTTATTCTTTGATGCTGTCTCCATTTAAGTGTCATTTGCATGATTTGGAGGTAATATGCCATCAGTTTTATGTGAAATGTAGCTACA